CTCTGTGAAGAATTTCTTCCTGAACATTATCCAACACCATTAGTTAATCTCTTTTCTAGGGGGGTGGCTTCCTTGCTTAAAGGAAAAAACCACAAGTCTTACTGAGCTACAAAACAACAATTAAAATCCTGAAAAAAAAGTTAGTTTTATACTGTTTAGCAAGAAGGATTAAAACTCAAAATTCCTCCACAGATTTTAACATAGCCTGCTGCCTCTAGCTAGATTAGCTAGCTTACGAAAAAACATATAATTCTGTAATAAAAAATGGGCTATCAAAAAAGCACATGGCTTACTGACTTGTTTTTATAGGTGTAAAATCTACTGATGTGCTTAACAGGACCTTAATTGTATTAACTAGCTTGAGTTAAGAACACAAACTAGAATGAAGCCTTTTACAAGGTTTTATGCATTTGTTGCACTTAATAAGAATCTCAAGAACTTGTGCGTTAACAAATTCAGGAAAAAGGTTCCTTTTCCCTGACTCAGGTGGATCACAAGACGCCTTCATTCACTCTGACAAGACTTTATTGAAGATAATCACGTTTTGGTTAGTGGCAAAGGTACCCAGACTAGCACAGTGCCTAGAAGGAACATGTCAAAGCACTAATATGGTATTAAGAGCACTATCAGTGCAGTGTTGCACCTACGACGAATGATGGGTGAGAGGCTGAAGAAAGAAGCAAAGGCCACACGTCCCAGGTCAGGAGCCTGACCACACAACTGTCAGCTCAGCCCGAGCAGAAAGCTACTTGGCAAAGCATTTAACCTTCCTGTTCTTTTGGTATCCTCCTGTGGAACTAAAATTTATCCAACTTATTACTAATATATGAAATTTATCTGCAGCTCAAATAGTAATAAATCTTGAGCCTGACCGCACTGAAGGATGTGAATGATCTTGAACTGCAGCCAGAAGTAGCACCCATTCAGCTGTAAAGGTGGAAAGAACGTGTGTGTGGTTATTCTTTCCACTGTCACAGAGAGGAGGGTACGTTTCACCGCTGACTGATGTGCTCTTGCAGGGGAAAACCTGCAGCACTCTCTCATTTTGTCCTTTTTTTTAAGGTGCAGACTGCCTTGGCCCCAGCCTATTGAGAAGGCCATTTAACATTTCAAGGAGTGTGATCTGCGGCTGTGCCTCACTGAAAAGCCAGACCTTCTGACCAACAGAGAAGACACCACTTTGCGCAAGAAACAGAGCTTTTCCTGGGGGCAGAGAACTATTTACCACAGAAATTAAGGAACAACAGACAGCTCATGAATCCTCACTCTTAAGCAGGTAATACACTTTCTTAACTTCTATTTCTCACAAGCCCACAGAGGAATGTGGGGTTTTAAAGAGTAACAAGGGGAAAAACCCACCACAAAACTCTACCGTGCTGAGACTTTACACCGATTGCGCGCTGTCCCCTGCAAAGAAACAGTAAGCCAGCTGTGAGAGACACCAGGCGTGCTGAGTGAGCACTGCTAGAATGAGCAGTCGGAGCGGAAAGGACTTCCCAGTTAGAACATGTGGATGTTAACACAGTTTTTCTATCTTTTCTCAAGGCTAGAGAAATCATACCTCACCATCTTGCAAAATGTAGGTTTTACAGGCAAAGCACCCCTGAGAAGATCACGAGGATGTGGGGGAAAAATGTTTCTGAAACACAGTAATATGGTCTTTAATGGCATGAGCCAGTCCTTAGTCAGATCAAGGGGATCGTTTCCATTAGCCAGAGGAGGTTTGGTATGGATCTCACAGGCCTGGAGACATGAACCCTAACCATTCTATGATTCTATGATTCTATGAAACCTTAAGGCTCTGAGCTAACTTCTTACCCTTCTGTTCTCTGCCTGTTCTGAGGCATGTCCCAATTCCTGACCTAAGACACCTGTTTTGCCCCTAACCGAAGGACAGACCCATCTTAGAATCACAGAAACACAGAATGCTTTGGGTTGGAAGGGACCTTAAAGATCATCTAGTTCCAACCCCCCTGCCATGGACAGGGACACCTTCCACTAGACCAAGTTGCTCCAAGCCTCATCCAGCCTGGCCTTGAACCCTTCCAGGGATGGGGCATCCACAGCTTCTCTGGGCAACCTGTTCCAGTGCCTCACCACCGTCTCCGGGAAGAACTTCTTTCTGATATCTAATCTAAACCTCCCCACTTTCAATTTAAACCCGTTACCCCTTGTCCTGTCACTACAGGCCCTTGTACAAAGTCCCCCCCAGCTTCCTTGTAGCCCCTTCAGGTACTGGAAGGCTGCAATGAGGTCTCCCCGGAGCCTCCTCTTCTCCAGGCTGAACAAGCCCAATTCTTGCAGCCTTTCATCATAAGAGAGGTGCTCCAGCCCGCTGATCATCTTTGTGGCCCTCCTCTGGACTCGCTCCAACTGGTCAATATCCTTCTTGTATCTTATATCTTACTGTAACTTCTGCAAGCTGACCTATGGACGGTCATGCTGGGCCCATTCTCTTCAATGCCCTGCACCATGTCATAGTGATGGCACCCTTCTGCTGCTTTAACTGCTTTCTCATACTCCACGCGCCCCGTCTTGCCAGGCAATACCTAGAATGCAGCTTTGCCGCTAAATTTTGGGTTTTCCTTCAAGAAGTTCAGGGGTTTTAAGTCCCTTTATTACACTCTAATCTTTTCCCTATCCAGCGAGCGAGGATGCAAGGTGAGGTCAAAGTTGTTAAACAGAAAAGCATTGCTGACACTCCAAAACTTTCAGATGACACAATTTCATAGACAAATTCTGTAAGAAAACCTCAGTTATCCAAATGGTTATTATTTTCCATTCTTCTTTTTGTTTTGCTTTCACTTCATCTTGCAAAGTAATATAATACTTCCTTACGTTACGGTTTCCATATGTCACACTTCAATTACAATATAAACTCCAAATTAAGCACTGATCAGCTTCCAGAACTTTTAGAGTATTAATTTTAGTGACTTCCTTATTGAGAGTATTAGGATATCAGAAATTACAGTTGTCCATATGGTTAAGTCTCTGTATTTCTAATTACCTTTCTGTGTCTGCACCACTTCATCATCTGATTCATTCGGAACAAAAATGTCTTTTATAGCAATTAGTTCATTTTTCACAGTCTCCAACTGTTCTCCATCAAGTGTTGCTAAATAGGACTGAATCTGTAAAGGAAAGGATTGTAAGCATTCCTAACCCAAACACGGCATTTCTTAAATTGCTAATTTAGAGCCGGATACCGAAACAGACTAAGAAATGGAAATTTCCATTATGCTCAAATCTTATCTCTAAACTTCCCAGGTAGACACACATTTAGTTCTCATCAACAAAATTTGTTGAGAGTCAGAAAAAGTACAGCAGCCGTGCAAGATCATCAGTTTTCTCTTTCCCCAGAACGTTAGTTTTGAGTTATAAATCTATGGGTTTAATTGCAAACTGTAATAAGCACTTTGGGATTGCTGGAGTGAAGAAAGCAGAATGCATGCTTAGTCTGAGCGCCCATGGGAAGAGTTACAAAAAGAAGCCTGTTTCCCCTCCTTCGACATGCAACCACAACTACTGACAGTCTACCAGCCCACCTGTTCTGAAGAGCTGCCAGGCCTTTGCGTGTCTTGGGTATCTGGGAGTCCCTGCCTATCTAACAGGGTGCATGTCTAAGAGGGATGGAAGCATATTCTTCAAGTCACTGTTTGCACTGCAGTGTTAGTCCCATGACTGCACTCTGCCTACGAAAGCCAAGAGAAATGCCTTCTCTCCCTCTGATATAAAATTCCACTTCTAGGTTTGTTTCAAGGCAGGTTTTTTTTAGGCTTGCTAGGCAGACCTGCAGACTGGCTCTGTGAGAGATGGAGAAAGGCATTATTTTCTCCTGTTCCTCCTTGATGTGTCCAGCTCATATGCTCAGGGCTAAATGCAAGATAAAGTCAGGAGGCCCAACTCAGGCTGTGAGCCCAACCTAGGGCTTTTTGGCCCTCTCTATAGCATTGTCTGTTCCATAGCATTAACTGGGACCTTTTTCTAATGGAGACTTTAAATAAAAGCTTTAGAATATTTTAAAATCCCTGCTATTAGAAGGACCCAGGACATTAGCAATGCCTTCAGTCTCTACTGTGTTTTCCCGTGGCCCATCAGAGTGTGGCTTTTGTGCTGCTAGTACAGGTCTCAAGCTTACAACACTGTAAGCGAGTATTTTGTGTGTCTGTGTGTACGGTAATTGGAATATGTTCTCTGACTCTCGTGGAATACATCTCAGGAAATTGACCTTATTGACCCAGGCAGTTGCATTCAACCCTGCCAGAGAGATTAGGACGACGAACCAGGGGTTATCTAGGACATAACAGGAAGCACATCAGAAACCTCCTGCTAACAACCTGCACGAGCCTTCCTTACCCTGTGGTATTTAACGGTAAAAGAAAAGCAACCGTGACACATGCAACTAACCTGAACTTGTTTTCTATTTACCTCTTTCCTGGTTTGTGGGTTTCCTTTTTCTTTTCTTTTCTCAAAAGCGGGCCCTTGAACCTTACATGTAGGTTTTGAATTCGCAATTTTGCATTTAGACATAATCGCACAAACCAAAACCAGCATGGACAGTGTGTAACTAGCTATGATTAAAACAAGATTCTTTCATTTGTGACAGCAAATAAGATATTAGAAAAAATAAGAGGGTTATTTTTTATTAAAATAAATGTTAATAAAATTGCCAGAGGGCAAGGAGAGCTAATTACTAAAATGATGAAAACATGTATCTGAAGAAATTTGTTCAGAAATTATTTCAGTACAAAATACCACGGCTAGGAATCTACAAAAGTTCCACTAATCTACTGTCTGAGATTTACTGACGGCTGAAGTTCAAACTGTATTTATCATACGGGCCTTAGTAAGGTGAGCATGTTCTTCAGAACGACACGTAGCATTTGTATGCTCCCAGTGATGGTGTCTTTGGGTAGTTTTATGTAAGGTAACTTACATAAGTTACTTCACATAAAGTTGAATTAACACAGTAAAGAAGAATTAGGAGTTGAGTAAGTGATCAGGAATTCATTTAAAATCACTAGGCTCTAGATGTGGTAGGTGTGGAGCTCCTGAATGTAAGTATCAGTGCCTGATACAAAACCAAAAGACATCAACCTCCCTCCAAGTTCCGAAAAGACATCTGCGTACTGTCACAAGCAGAAAGATATATGCTACATATGGTCCTAACAAACCTAACGTTCAGTTGTGAAGTCGGTTGTGCTGAGTTAATCTTGGAGTTAAATTTTATGTGCACTGAGATCGATTTCCTGACCAAGGACTAGCCCATGGGACCAATACAGATTTCTCTGAAGCTGATGAAGAACTTAACTGTTTATTTCACATGCACCCGCAGAACAAAAATGTTTTACCAAGCATTTTGATTTATGCTGTCTGCATACTGTACCTGGGCTTCACTTTCATTAGACAGAATTTCCAGAGCTTCAAGATGAGACAAACCTTGGAATTCATCAAAAAGCAGTCCATAATGTGCTGTTCTTTCAACAGTAACTTGCTGGGCCCGCCTCTGTTTCTCTTTTTCTTTGGCTTCCCGCAACAGCTGCAAAAATATACATCATTCCTGTTGGTTTACAGTTAGTGTTGCAGGTATGACAGGTTTTATTACTTTCTGCTCCTGCTTGTCTAGGAAGTAGTAATAAAATTTGGGATTATATCACACCTGCAGAGCTGAAATTTTAGAGCTGAAATATCTAACTACTTCTTCTGATAAACTTCTCTAATAAAATATTTAAGTAGTATTCTGAGCGTGGTTTTCCCAATGGTAATTGTCAACCATCTTTTTTTTAAAAAGCATTGAACAAAAAACTCGCTTATGCTCTCAAAAGCAATGTCAGCGATGGATACCACACAATAAATTTAGCCACCAATTACAATGAAAGAAAAATAAAAACGACTATTTCATACACAGCCTTAGAGAGTCATGCAATCCATTCCAAAGACCACAACATGGGAAGAATATTATTTCCAGGACCTACCTACCTACTTGCACTAAAAATGCACCTACATATATATTTCCCATCAAATATTTTTAGCAGATTATAAATTCAGGTTTATGTGACAGCAGGACTGACAAAAGAGATTGGCCTAATAAGGTATTATTATCCAAAGGTGGGGCAGAACTATACTCCATATACTTGGGGATATTTTGGAGTGATCTTCTAACACACTCTATTCCATTAGTGTGTAAGAAGGATGGAACAGTGTATAGAACAGGATCTTCTATTCCCAGGAAGGAATAGCCTCTCGTGTGAATGTGCTGGTATATATATTTCTGAACTGCATCTTAAGTGACATATAAGCCTCTGAATACAGGTCAACTGTCACCACTTACACCATTCCATCATTCACAATTTCTGTGATATTGCCTTCAGTTATTAATTTGATACAAAAGACTTATGATGGCAGACTTCTCAGTCTCACCTTCACTCACGGCTTTATGTACAAATTGCCGAAAAGGAAGCAACGCTTTATGTGACCCATGAGAACTGATTTATGTCACGTCCTGCCTCAGATTTTGTATGAGAATTCATGTGTATTGTTGAGGAAGGTATTCTCAAAAGCTCGTTTTAACCCTGTGGGCCTTAACAACAGTTATTTGCTTTTGGCCTACTCCAACAGTATCGTTTTGTTTACAACACTAAGATGAAACCTCTCATTAAAAGAAAAATAAGGTACCCCTCTCTACAAGGAAGTAAACGTGTAGTAAAATCACAGGTTTTTTCAATGTCTGTTGATTTCCCTTGCCTCCCTCCTCTCAGTGCCTGGAGAGCTAAAATAATTCTGTACTGATGGCACTTACACTTCTGTTTTTATCATGTCTCTGAACTTCTAAACATGAGTCACCATTAGTTTAGATGGACATTAAGATAGGACTTTTCACAGCTTTAATTCCTAACGTCATATTCCAATATTGCTCCTTTCTGAGGAAAGTAGTATAGTGATGTTTATGCCGGAAGATATCTATCTACAGCTATTACAAACACACACACAATTTGATTCTGTCTCCAAAGTGTAATGATTTATCACCACATATACTATCTTATTAAAATCAGCTGTTGTACTGTGATTATGCAGAAAACATGATTTTACATTATCTTTTGTGGTTCTGTGAAGAAAAAGAAAGTGGAGAAAATATAAAGCGTAGTATTTACTTTCATAAACCTAGCCAATATCTACTGCAATAAATAAAGCCTCTCCCTGAGGCATCTGAAATTCTGGAAGAAGAATCTGAAACTGCATTGACAGAGCTGTATTTAAATAAATCCAACCTGAGAGAGAGAAACTGTTCTTGCCATCAGTGTTTTCGTCCTCTTAAATCCAGGATCGCTTTCTGCAAGGACATTCATGGTTGTCTTCCCAATAAATTCCAAGGCATCTAAGCCTCCAGATAATACACTTTTCCCCTGTATAAAATAATGCAGTGTGGTTATTTTCTTTCCACTTTATGCTAATACGAACTGTAAAGAGTATTGCTTTTGCTGACACTGTCTTTGAACCTTCAGGTCCCTAGGTTTTCTATGCTTTAACCACAATAGGATTGATATGTTTTTAAAATTATGTTACTTTGTCCTTGAATACATTATCAAGAAAAAAAAGAGAACTTTACAAATATATATACTTAATTGAAAGACTCCCACTGGAGGAAACTTAACACTTGCTGCCAATAAAAAATTTATGAATAATACCACTTTAATTTTATCTGCAGTGCCATCTACTCTGCGGGAACATATTTTAGATATGAATAACATGGAGCCAAAGTCCATCATGAACAGGATGACCCTGCCTTACCTAACTGATTTCTAAAATTTTAACACTTACAGTGACTCTGGAACTGTCTGTCGTCCCATGTCTTCCTACTAGCACTAGCCCTCACTCACAGTTTATCACGTACACTGAAGAAGAGTTTTCACTGGCTAAAGAATGCCATTGCAATCCAGATTACGCCACCTGTCAGATACTCACATGCTGATGTAACCTGATATAGAACGGAAAACCCTACCCTAGTCCCAGATGGCATTACAGACCAATATCTGACTGAGATCTTAAGTCATTATTTTGTTTGGTGACATTCATCACTGTGGTGTAGTAGCCCCTTTAGGTTTGCAACGGGGCACATTTGTCCTATTTTAAAATCTTACACAACGGTCAGGTAACCTTACCGCTGTCTAGCTCTCAAGCCCTACACTGCACCAAATTCTGTAGCAACAGTCCTAGGAATAGTCTATATAGGAATCTCCTTCTGCTCCTCAAATCATTGACATTGGAGCGATGAGGCACTCAGAATGAACTGGACACATGAAAAAATAATTGCCACTTCATACAACATGCTCAGTGGGGAGGTAGTCTTCTGTGCTTTTTTAGATGATGCTTAAAGTCTTCCATAATTTCAAGGGAAACAACATAATGAAAAGCTCAGAGAAAAACATTTGCTGTGCTAATAGTGTCGATAAAATGGTGGGGGAGAAGATGATATGAAAGTTGATTTGGAAACAGTATGATACAGAATTTTGCAAAAGCTGAAACAGAAAACTGGAAAAGGGTGAAATGCAATACACGGGAAATATGTGGAGAGTGTGATAGGAGAGAACTGTGGACAAAAGAACTTCTCTCACTGAGTTTGCAATCAGGCCACCTTCTGGGAAGGCTAATATGAAATGAGACACTAGAAAGAGAGGTGAAGGACTAACATTACAGTTTAGCCAAAGCCTTAAAATAAGCAAATCAAGTTTCTTCTTACTTTATCTGCCTTCAAAAATGATAACAAATCTTATCATACTTTCTCTGGAAGGACTTAACTGTAAAAAAATTAGATGATGGTACTACAACTATAAAAAAGATTTCCCCAAAATTTGCAGAATTCTATGTAGTTTAGGAGAAGACCCTATTTTCACTGGAACTGGTGCCAGAGTAGTTGTAGTTGATTTTTTTTTTTTCAGTTTGATACAGTTATTTTGCCATGGAAGAGATTCTAAACAGACTTAGAACAGAACTGTTTTTACAAAGACCTACAGCTTGAAAAACTCTACCCATTAAATGTGACCTAGAGTGAGGTTGCACCTTAAAAATGATGAAGCATAACTAGAGCAGAAAGGCCCGCTACCATGACTCACTGTGTTCTGTACAGCATTAGTGATAGCGGATAACATGCCACGAGATCCAGATGAAGGGGAAGAAGGAATATTCTCAGAGGAGCTTTGGTCTAGGGAATCCTCTGCTTCTAACAAAAGAAAAAAAAAAAAAAAGCAAGGTACAGCATACTTTCAACTCTACAAGTCATAAACTGCATTCTATCATCAAAATCTTAAAACCTTGTAAATTGAACTAATTTTGCAGTTTCAAAGAGTTTTGTCCAGTTTCAGTAAACTTGAACTTACGTATAATTGGTGTTTCAGCTGCAGGAGGCTCTGCTGTTTCTGAAGATGCCGAACTTGCATTATGAATTCCTAGGGTAGTTCCCGCCTTCTCCTTTACTGCTGTTATCCCATGACCTGCAGCAGAAGCGTATTTTAAACCGTATCATTTGAAAACTTACTACTAAATTGCATACTATGCGTATACTCCATGAATGACAGCAATCAGGACAGCTATTAAACACACTTCGCTTGCTTCATTTTGTTCTAGGTTAGTAACTCCCTTGTTCTACTACATCCAGTACATTAACTGACTAGGAATTATAAAGCTGAAATGGAATACAAACGACACTGGATCTGAAATGTAAGATTTGATTCAGTTTAGTTCCCTGCTTTTCAAAATGCTAAATATTCTATTACAATTAGTTCAAACAAAAATTGATGGTCCTCCTAATGCTGTAGGGTTTGGCTTCATCCAGTTTTCAGAAGTCTAGAACAATTCATCCACAATTAGTGGACTGGGTGACTGCAGGGCTGAGGTAAGAAATTTGCTCTTCGGTCTGCTGCATAGGTGCTATGTCAGGTAAGTATTTCAGGAATACTGACCCAGGACCTCAAAGTTATTTCAGGATTTAAGCTCTGCAGTTGAAGTCAAGTTCTGAAGCATCTCTCCTCAAAGCTGCTGTTTAAATAAATACGCTTTGTAAAGTCTGTTGGTGCCAGACGGCACAGACAGAATTATTTTTCCAGTGGTAGCTGATCTCCTGCTGAGATTTTGCCACCTTTACCTGACACATATGTAATCACAGAATCATAGAATCATGGAATGGTTTGGGTTGGAAGGGAGCTTAAAGAACATCTAGTTCCAACCCCCCTGCCATAGGCAGGGACACCTTCCCAGCTGTCTGTTCCATCAAAATGGTCTAGTTTAATGTAAAGAATGGATGTTGTTAGCATTTTTATCTGAGTCATTTTTGACAGAACACTATTGCTTTGCTGCTTTTCTACAGGGAGTTTATTTACACCAGCGGACTGGTAATACCCTGCTATAGGATAGGGTGGGATTGCCTGGCAGTCTGCAAAAGCAGGCAGTAGCTTCCTCAGCTGCATTAGGTGTAGTTGAAAACCACTGCCCTTACAAAAGACTACCCTCCACCTGTCTGCCTCTTCTGCTTCTGGGTACATCCCTAAGAATGCTCATGGTATGCTTGAGCATACATTACAAACGATCCAGTTAGCACATCTGCCTTAGTTGGAAGTTTCTGCACGTCAGCTGAGACACAATAAGTAAACAACCAACGAGGCAGGCAATATTTCTTTCCAACACAAAATGAAATGGCTTCAGTGACCCGATTTTATGTTTTCTTGCACAGTACACCCTTACTGTGTCTCACATGAAGCTGATTACTCACAGCAGTAGGACAACACAAAGTGCTTCAACCTTCTGCATAACTGCTTATGAGAAGTATTAATGACAATTTCATATTTCTTTGCTTTGTTACCTTAAACTGAACTGTAACTAAATAAATGATTTCAGAAAAGCCATTAATACAGCTGCTCAGGCAGATACCTAGACATCTAAGGCAGGAAGTCAAGCATAACGATTCAATAAATGTTGTCCCTACTTTTTCACAACTGTGTGCACTTCCTATTAGAAAAGTTCCAAACAGTTCTCTGAGTTATATTAACTGCAGTGAAATAGCCTATCGTCTACCAGTGCTCTGCTGTGTTCTACATATACATATTCTAAATATACATATACGTGTGTGTGGTCAGACAAATATGCTTCGGAATATCTGAGTAAAGAAAGACACAGCAACACTCTCTGAAATGGAAGAAGGAAAGCTTAGACCTCGGATTCTATGATTGCCAGATGGGTTGCACATCAGGTGCTCTATGAATTCAATAATAAATATACTCTAGAAAACATATGTGAAGCAGCACTACTGAAAAATCACATACAAGAAAACTGGAGTGTCTGGAGGTAAACACAAAGAACAGATGTCCCCTAAGGAACAGATGAGTTGAAACACATAATTTTCTATATGGCAGCATAAGCTGCATGGGGTCCTGATGTTTTACACTGAAACAGAGACACCAGGCAGGTAAATGCTTCTACCTGTCTAAAGAAAATATGAGCTTTGTCTATTTTATCTCATGTCTTACAAACTGTAGCAGTGTGCCCAACTGTACAGGGCGTACTAGGGTGTGCACCACGGTGATTTAAGTCATTGCTGGGTAACTTCCTGCCTTTTGCAAAACCCATCTCACTGCAGATACTGGAGGGCAGCATTCTACTGCGTGTAATCCCAACCTCCCGCACATTTAATTGGTTCAATGGAAGTATGAGCACGAATAGATTCTGGAGTCATTTAATTACTCTCCAAACTCCTGGGACTCACTTAAATAACTACTATTTGTTCTTTTAAACTAAAGTAATAGATACTCCATATCACATTCCATTTTTCACACTCACAACTTTTTAAATGAGCAAGAGTTCTATTCTTTCCATTGACTTAATTTTTCTTAAGGACTTGACTTGCTAAAAAAAATATATATATAATTGTCCTGTAAATACCTAAAAAATTAACTACAAACATTAGGTAAAAATTTCCCTTTGACTATTGTGAGAGAGTTCTAGATTTTCAGATAAATTTTCCTTTTTTTTCCTGTACCTAAACATTTTATTTATTTATTTATTTTAATATTCTGCAATTTAGTGTTCACAGTTTTGCAGAAAGGTTTACACTTCCAAGAAAAGGAGGCACACAGTTCCTGTGCCGGTATTTAGAGACTTACAAAAGGCAGCATTTTCAGGGCTGTGGTTACATGCACTAGAATGATAAGAAAACACGTCAGGTCAGCTAGGAGTGGTTGTGCTGAACTAAGCTCTATGGCATGTATGTTTGACTACAAACAAAACCAGATGAGATCAGAAGACCACAACGGAAGCAAGCCAGCACAGTCAGATCGACATACCTGCGCAAACACAGCAGAAGTGCAAGTTGCTTTGGAAATGAAAATGATTATTTATGATTTCAAAAGGCATGAAAATAAAAGAGGTCACGGGAGATGAGCCTACATTTCAGAGATAAGTATGGACTGGTTTTGTTACACTGGGTGTGGTAACTCAACTGAGCTGATACTGTAAACCTAGGATCACCTTCGAAGTCTCTATTTACTCCTCTGTAACAGCAGACAGAAGAGCTATGCAATGGGTATTGTTAACTGCTTACTTTTTGAAGAAAGCATGCTTTTTTCTCTGTATTCTTGCTTTTGTTTTTCTTGCCTACATGATTTCTTTTCTTTTCTATTGGCTGGCAATTTCAGCAGAATGTTGTTGTTCACCTTGCTAGCTGGAATCTTTCATTTGAAAAGGAAGGTTTTGCAAGCAGTTCCTTAAAAATGTTGCCTGCCTTTCAGTTCCCCTGATTTGCCCAAGGCCAGATCACAGGGCTCACAAATGCTTTAGTCAGAAACATGAAACTTCATTTTATCTTCCACCTCCCAGCTTAGGAGCTTTGGATTCCCTGCAGAGCTGAAAGAGGCAGACAGACACCTTGGGAGGGCAGTTCAGCATGTCTGAAATCTAAACCACTCTCTGTCAGAATTGCTGCCCCTTGCCAATCCAGTACTCCCAAGCAACTGCTTGGTAGATTCAACAACTTTCTTAGTGTGACATCTAGTGTCAGACACCAAGCATGGTTCAGACAGCAACTGCCGCTAATCCAAAGGCATTACAGATTCTGTTATGTAGAGCAGCATCACATCTGCCTTGTGGCAAGGACCTCGATCCAAGTAATTGCAAAACCAGTTCAAAGACAACTGACGTTTCTTGAGAATACAAACCAATCGCCAAAACAATCACTGGCTATATGTGCACAGTTAACGAGAGATAAGATACAAATTACATGGAAATTACCATATTATTAGAAACTAACATCAGCTATGCTAAACAAATTACAGTCGTACAGTAAAAATGCTGATCTGTTTGGGAGCTCTAAATCAGGGTTTGAAGGATAATGAAAGAGAGATCCTTGGAACAACCATTTCAGCTCAGACTTAAAGAGAAAGGAATGTAAGAAATAAATTTAACACAATAAGAATAATCCTTCACTGGAACAACCCCCCCAGGGATATGGTAGAGTCACCATTGCTGGAGGTTTTCAAGATGTGACTGGACAAGGTGACAAGACGATCTCATCTAGGCACCCTTTCCCACAAAAGCCTACATGATCTTTTGAGGACTAGATGATCTTTTGAGGTCCCTTCTAACCTGGGCTGTTCTATGATACTATTTTTTAAAAGATTACTGTATTTGGTTAGGCCTTTAAGATGTTATCTAGTCCACCTCAAACTGTTTCTGCTATTTTTACAGAGTACAGTTTTGAAGAAAAATATAAGGAATAGTAACTATTTGTCACACTTAACCAGACAAGCAGCTGTGTCATGCAAAGATAACAACAGAAGACAGAAAAATCACATACCAAAGGTGGTGCTGATAAGTCTACTTCCAAGAAACCAGCTTTACTTACACCATTTGCTACACTGAAGGAATAACCAACATTAAAATGGACTATAGGCAAACCTGTTTTCTGACGTAGAATAGATGAAGTGTTGGTCGAACTGCTCAGATATTACATGGAGTAGCTTGAAGGGGAATAATAAATATTTGATAAAAAGAAGAAAGCTTATAGAAACTACCAATAGCTATATCTTTTTTCTCCTCTCTGTCCCTGCTAGGAATTACCATATTGAAGCAGATAGATGGTATATGCAGTCCCACATCCAGCCTGTGACAGTGACAGACAGTAAATACTTCACAGGATTAAGCACGAATTTCCATAACAACCAACCACGAAATAAGCTCTCTGTATCAGGAATATAAACTATTACCTGCTGCACTGATTTCCTGGAACAAATTATCTATGCGGTCTTCAAAGTTACCTTGGGTTCAGTGAACTATATTATAATGTTTGTTTTAACATCCCAGGTTATAGTGTCACAGAAAATAAATGTAAATGTTGTCCTAAAGATTTAGGATCCAATATCAGACTCAGGTTACCATATAAGGAAAAAAAATCAACAGGGGAAGTATCTGACTATGGAATGAAAAAATGTGTATTTGATTTCTGCTCAATTTAAAGTCTATCTTATTTAATAATTCTTAGAGAAAAGTTAGATCCAAAATTATTAAATAGTAATATGGGAACAACCCTACCCTGACCCCAGGGTCAGGAAGTCTGTCTAAGTCTAGATACCAGGAAATGGGAGGAGAAAACAAGGGAAGTGCTGCTTCACATACATCTGGTTTCAGGCTTTTCCCAGTTGCTCTTGGTTACTGCCAGAAACTAGATGGCAGATGTGCCTTCAGAGTGACATAGCGCAACCATTCTCATGTAAAATTAAAATTATTTCAAAAATTTCTTTCCCCATCTCTGCATGTGGATGCTCCTTTGCCTAGGCAACTTGACCTGTTCCAACTGTGCTCATTTTTAAATAATAATAATTCTAAATATATATATAGATGGTGATGATAAGCCTATTCAAAACAGACATCACAGAACATTATCAAGTCAGGCTGACTAGACAACAATCTTGTTTGCATATTTACACTCTCTGAAGATAGTCAGGATGCTGATACAGTCAGATGGTATGTTAAGAAGCTGTATCAATTAAGCATGAACTTTTAATGCATATGAACCATGATTTTATATGGCCTATATAAAAATGAGATCACAGCATGAAGTCCACAGAAATCCACAGAGGTACAATTCTGGCAGCAGGTTTTATAGACAAAAGCAACAAACACCTGCTAAAAAAGTATGCCCTGTTTACTTATTAGTCAGTAAGAAGGGATAAAACACACGTTCTTATTTGTCTTCCAAACTTTTTCCAGCAATATTCATCATTTTCAGACAAGTTCACATCAGTTGGGCAAGAAAATATCTGTGGGCATGCTGCCCCACAGAAAATGTATATACTTTGTGACGCTAAACTGATTGCTCAGGGAGGCCAAGACTCCAAAGCCACAGAAGACTGAGTGAGATTGCCACGGCAAGCCTGCAAGTACAGTAACTGGTAACAAATTATCTTATTACTCACAAACAACATCAGAATGTCCACTTGATAGAATACTATTTACTGAAAAATATGGAAGTCTCATGAGGCAAAAACCTAATGACCTGAAAGAGCTCTGTTCCAAGGAACCCACTGTTACAACTGTAAAAATGAACTGAAGAATTCATCAGCATCACAATTCCAACTAATCAACAGTAAAATTACTTCTACGCACATAAATTTTCTTCTTCAGTTATTTACGCTATGCCAGATTCTTTTCAGAATGTTGTTGTTGTGATGGTCTGAGAATGTAAGAGAGGCAAGGCTCGTGGAAGTCTGTGAAAACAGTACCCTTTATTAGACCTACTAATAGTGCTGGGGAAAAAAAATGGCAAACAATTTTGACACAGAGGCCCTTCTTCAATTCTGAAATAGAAGCGCTAAATTTTAAGATTACAAACAAGTTGAGAACACGCAGTTTCACAGACACTTTAAGGCTAAATACAAGTTCAGAACACTGATGTAGTTCCACTGCTAGGTAAGCTGCCTTTGTCCCCCTCGGCATATTTTATGTGTTCCCATCACTTCCCCTTCAGCAGCATTTGGGTGATCACATGGTGAGCCGGATTAGAGAATTTACAAACTGATCCAGCTGAAGATCCAGCTCTTACGTCATTCGTACTTTTCAAAAGAAGACCCATAAAACAGCTCCCCACATCACTACATGAAGGTTACTATTAGCGCAAGAGAACTACGAAATACATCCTTTCAGCAGCGGCCTTCACTTAACGTCAATTTAAAGACATCTTAGAAACGCATTCTGAGTTTAATTAGATTTGTTAATGGGTTGGACTGTCTGAAAGAAAAGTTAGTTATAAATTCATGAGTGTGGTGTTACTGGAAAAAAAAGAGGATAAGGGAAGTTCCCTCCTTCCCTGAGAAATAGAGAGCAGTATTTATTGCCAATGGAACAGAGAAAGATAAGAATTATTTAGCCTTATAAGGGACCGTACAAGCAGTATTTCTGTTGAATCAGTTACTTTTAGTAACTAGCAATTAATTTTTATTCCTAAGTTCATCTTCTGAAGGTGTTTTGTGGATCCTTTATGAGAACTAAGTAGTTGACAGCTTAGTAGCTGCTTTGTGGTAAATTATTTCCCTCCGATAACTGGGTATTTGCATGCTTCGCTTTCTGTCTGTGAGTTTTTGAAGTGTAATGATTCGGTTTTACCTGAAGTCTTCACAAGGACATTCTGTACTGACATACTATTGAAATGAGAGTATAGGGAGGAGTACAGGGTCTGTTTCAGTATGTTATTCTACTCTCTGAAGCCTGGTGTGATAGCTTCACAGTTGCACTGGCTGTCAGTGAAAGCTGGAATGACTTACAAGAAGTAAATTCATATTGTATAGATAGAAGTCATGGTGTATAAACCAAAACCAAGCATGTGCACACATCTAGGTTTGCTTTGAGTTCAAAAAACATAAACCTTTGGCTAATAGTAATTGTATCAGATTATGTATCTCTCCTGTGAAGAAGCCACAATGAGGTATTTCACTAACTTCACAAATAAGCCCAGGACTTTGTCCATAATCTGACCCAAAGAAATATTTATTTGCTTTGACAGTTTAGGAAGGTCCTTCTTCCTAGTAAATAAAACCATGCTTACCAAGCGTATCAGGACAAAACTGTCTATGAATCTTTAAGATACATTAATGTGTCTAATGACAGATCAGAATTGCAATGTATTTCCGCATATTTACTGACTGCACACTTACCCACTGTGGCAGAAGCTGAAGACAGGAGAGACTTCCCCCAGGTACCCCAAGCTCCCCATCTACTTGCTTTAGATGAGGAGTCTGTGGCCTACAAGACAAAAATATGAGTCTATTGTCTAAAACTTATGTTATCCAGAGGCAGGAGGAAACACAAAGAACTTGCCAGGCAACAAAGTCCAGCATGTAATAAATGATGATACGAGTAAAAATGGTTGTGCCACTTATGAGGATATACAATCTGAAAAGAGGCACTTGGTAATACAATACTTGGCTTCCCTAATGATGGTGATGCCTAACAATGATGACGCCTCCTGAAGTATGATTTTCAACAGACAGAACATGCACAGAAATAGCCCAGAATGGTGACTAACAAAAGCTTTGCCTTTGCAGATGCTGAAGCTTTCATGCCAAGCAGTCCTTGCATGAAAGGTCGCATCCTTATGTTGCTGTTCTCACCTCACCCTTTCTTCCCCCAGGAGGAAACCAAGGCCATCAACCTCACTTTCTGTCTGTGAAACTGATTATTTGGCTGTTTCAGTGTCAAGTCAGACAGACCAATCCAGACAGCCTTCTGTAGCGTGTTAAACTAACCTTGCAGGCTTTGACCGACAGCCCCCATGCTGGGTTCTGCAGGGTCTCCCGAGACCATCACTTCTAGCTCTAGAACTGTAATATCTGGTTGGGAAGGTGCTATTGCTGCTGCACACATCTGTGCAGTGAACACATGACCGCAACTTCAGTGTGGAACAAGAGCATCCATATAGAGAACTAGTTAAGAATTTGGTTTCATACTAAACTAAAGTTTACTTTGCATTTAGTATCCCTGGGCAGACATTCTCTAGCTTTATGACAACTGTTTTATATTGCCTTCATGCTCAGTTTGGTCACTAAGGCAAGAATTTCAAAGGTCTTTTCACTCCTGAAAGTGCAACAGATTCCTAATGGGATCCTAAACTCTTACGGCCAGTGCTAGATTGGGTATTATGTGGAGTCCAAGCTTCTGTGCCCAAGAAAGCAGAATGGGAAGCTTAGTTTAGATCACCTATTCCTGAAAGCGCTTCAAACTCCAGAGATGTCTTTACAGATGTCCTAATATTTCTTGAGCCATTTGATCCTATAAAGCCTCAGAAGTTTATTAGGGCTATTATTAGGGAGAGGCAGGAACCTGTCTCCTTCCTGAGTTCTACAGGGAGAGAGAGTTAGAGGATTCGCTATCCTCAGAGGTGTAACGCAGGAGACGTGCACACTAACTCCTAACAAGTACGTTCAATAAAAACATAGCTAGAGGAGGTGCTAACCACCTTTTTCATTAATGTGTGGTGTCAGTTAGAGGATTCGCTGTCCTCAGAGGTGTAACGCAGGAGATGTGCACACTAACTCCTAACAAGCACGTTCAATAAAAACACAGCTAGAGGAGGTGCTACCCACCTTTTTCATTAATGTGTGGTGTTGTGATTATCGGTATTCCATATTTAAATCATATTAAGAAACTGTTGTCTGAAGAAAGTCTCCAGCAACACATCATCCCTACACAACTCAAAACCAAGAGCTGAAGTACTTCAAGACAGCTCTGCACTCTGCAGTGTACAGATCCCCTGTCACCTTTGAGCTAGGTCCCTCTCACTGGTGGAGGGACTAAAAGTGTTTCAACATTTTTCAATTTGTGGATGACTGAAAACTTTTCAGTGGAGATGAGAACATCTTCAGCTATGTTACATGTACTGGATTTCGATGCTGTGAAGACTGTAGAAGAGCCTTCTTTTTCTTCGTTCTCGTTCATTAACTTTTTGTAAATACCCACAGGAGTCCCAAAGGTCTGTGGATCACTAATCAAACGCTACTGGCCTAGAAGATATCAAAACCTACTGCCTGTTTCACAGAGTCTTGTGAAACATACACTGCTTTTGTAAAGTCAGTGACTTGAAAAAAGCCAGTACAAGATCCAGGGCTGCATATGCAGCTTCAATTCTGTCCTCTTCTTGGTTCATTCTGTGAACTGAATGAAGGAGATTTGTACAGAAAGCCAAGTAACTACACCACAGGAGTATTCTGTCTATATAAAATGGACTACATTCTTACTAAGATTTAGGCTCCAGTATAGTTTTATTGCAATCACGCTAGAAAGACCCAATTAATATCATACTGGCAAAGAGAAATTCAACTTTTCTTAGTTTCCAAAAGCTTGGTGTTGCAATTTAACTTACTTCATTCCCTTGCAGGTTCTCTGAACGTAACTCCACAGGGTTTTGTGAGAAACAGTATGTACGTTCGTGCTGGTTTTGGTTGGGATAGAGTTAATGTTCCTTACAATAGCTACATTGTACAAAATTCTGTCCTTAAAAAGCAGGGAGGGGGGAGGGCTTTCATGGGAGAGAAAGTATTACTTACTGGACTGCTTTGTTCGTGCAGTGTTTCTTCAGCTTCAGGTTCTGCATCAAGACTTACGGTCTCACTGCACTCAGTGGGCATGTCCTCAGTCGCCTCTCCACTGGAAGGCAGACTTTCAATTATTTTTTCAGTCAAATGGTTTTCGTTAATAAATATGTCTCCTTCCTGTCCATTCCTGGCACTCCGAGTGGCCTGTCCACATTCATCATGTGAAGACTCATGCAAGAGCTCAGCTTCCACGCCGTGTGGTACTGACTCGTGTGGCAACACCTCACTGCTGGGCATTTCCATTACTTCCGGTTTTGCGTCAGATGGGTTGCCATCGCACACGTCCTCAGACATTTTCAATTCTGAATACAGAAAACAAATTCAGTCTTTTAGGTCCCATCAACATTTGGATTACTATAAAATATGCAGAATTCACCATCAGCTAGCGTTGTCTAACAAGACAGGCTTGATGCAAGGCCTCCTGAAGCATGGAGCCCCGTGGCACATGCATCATGCCAGCACTGATACCACGATGACACTCTGAATAGTCTATTCACCTCGCAGGATAGCACCTCAGTACAAAGAGCAGCATTACTGTTTTCCAAAATATGGTTTGGTGAGGGAGAATGGATGTTCATTTGTCTGAAGAAGTAAAATGTAAGAGGTTCCACATGGTTAATTCCTATATTCCCTGTGAGATGTGTACAGAACACCACTGGAAAAAAGGATTATCTGAGCTGCAATAGCCAAGCAGCTCTTGCTCTTGTTCCCATCATTTCCACATACACAGGTTCCTATAGCCTGCTGACTGATGGAGAGGAGGATGACCAAGACAGTGTGACTAAAACTGTGGTGACATGTTGGAGAAAGGGCAAAATTTAAGTACATGACAGGCCACAGTCCCTGCAGCCATTTGATAGACAGGAAGCATTCATTCACTGCTCACACCATTTCTGCATCACTTGTCTCAAAGGCTTACCGTCTGGGGAGCACAACGCTCTCACCTGTTCCTAAAAGTCCAGACTTCAGTTCTCGAATTCAGCTGTGTGATTAAACTTCAGTTCTGAAGCCAAGGTAAGCTTACATGAGGTACAGTTATTGATGTTTTTGTCTGTAAGTTACGAACGCATTTTCTCTTCCCTTTCCTTAACTCCCAATGCAACTTTCTGAGTATTTTCCACCACTGCGCAGTCATTGGGCTGAGCATCCAGGAAGGGAAAGAAATGGCCATTGAGCAAGCTCTGTGGCTGATGAAGGAGTGGCACTGGCAGAGTCCAAAAGGACGGTGATTACTAGCACTTACTTGTTGGCAACAACAGCATGCCTGGCACTCTGTGCAGAAGACAACCCTTGACAGAGAGTTGTAACTGCAAGCTCCTGACTATATGCTCTTGACCATGCACAGCATAAAACACACTCACAGAGTCTTCTCTGGAGATGCTGTCTTTCCATTGACTCTCCTATTAGTTAAACATGTACCTGCTAGGAAGGATCGAGGTGCTAAAAGAAACTGAAGAACAGGAAACAAAGGCAAAAAGCAAAACATAACTGGGATTCTGCTTCAGCCTGCCTAAGAAACATGTATTTAAATTACTATATTTTATTAAAGTCTGCAGAATCATGTACATTTGTGGCTTTAGCAGCCTGTTTATTTTATCTGAACGTAGATCAGCTGTTTGAACGGTTCCAAGAATAGCATTTGGGATCAGCGAACACCAAACATAAATAAACAAATAAGCACTTGGTGCCACTTATATTACTTTAGCTTATATTGTAAGTTGTCTTACAAAACATGCATTTACCAGTCAGAATCTTTACATCTGCCACAAGTATTTGCAGTTTTCCATTGCAACTAGACCAAATACCACAAAATGCCTTAGTGTAGGTAAATATTGCCAATGTTTAAGCAGTATTGTGTGATGGGCAGCATCACCCAAAGAAAATTTTTGCATTTGTAAACCAAATTCCATCACCAGATATGAGGATCCTCTACTAAAACGTGTAAAATGTGTACATATGCCCGTCATAATTTTGCACAGGGACCGGATCTGAGGAAGAAAATGCCCAACGCTGGTACAATTTGTAAAGGATCACACACACAGATTAATTTTTCACAGGGCTGGGTCACCTTTGGGGACCTCTCAGACCTGCAGGTGTCTGCTCAACCTTCCTCAGGGGAGCAAGGCGCTCGGCAGGACATCACCACATCTGTCAGAAACCGCGCCTGGCCCCGGGCTAGGGCGTCACTCAAGCCGTCACCCGTGAGGCTCTATTGACCTAAATCAAGTTGGGCAACTCCGCCCAAACGGAATTTCTCCCTAGGGACAGCTCCCGAGGCAGACGCCCAGGCCAGCTCCCTCCCGGGCGGCAGGAGAGCCGCC